GTAACCATTGCGCACGTATGCGCCGATCGCATTACCCGATAGTATAGCGTGTAACATATAGGTGATTCTGATGGATCAGGTAACCTCTACGAAACAGTGTGTATTGGTTACATTTGCGTATAACTAACGTTGTGATGTTTATTAAACTAGAATAATATTATCAGGAGTGAATAATAATAGAGGAGTATGACTCGTTTGAAACACGAGAAATTCATCATTTCCATGCCCAAATTTACCTATGATATATTACGTCAAATCCAATAAAAATGACATCCGAATCTATTATCATTCACTCCTGATATTATTATATTTTTGTCATCGCCTTGCAACTATATATTTAGTAATATATACCGTTCTTCAGTGTGGTGTTTATTAAACTAGAATAATATTATTATATTTTTATCATCGTCTTGTGACTATAATTATATTTAGATATAGATACGGTTCTTAAGTGTAAGAACAAATTTCCAGATTCTTGATTCTTAATAAAGTGTCCGCTGTTACTATAACATTATTTGCAGTGCAATTTTTAAAAGTATTTGCAATAAGAGCATTAAATGAAGTTTGGAATTGTTCTTTAGTCACGCCTCACAATTGCATTGGGGGCTTACAAAAGCTTTTGTCGTTACGTCAGTTCAGAGGAAAACGCAAATTAATGTCTAAAGTGAGTTTCAAATCTCACATGTCACACCACTTCTGCCCTTGCAATCCCTCTATATGAAACATGTAATGTTGAGAACATCTGAGAGTTCTGATTTTGTCAGGCGATTCTCAGTGCGATCAGAGTTCATTTTTCTACGTTGTATGTGATACCTCAGTAATCGTAGTAATAGGCTCGCACGAATTATATTATATTTGTGTGTGCTTGTGTGTGTGTGTGTGTGTGTGTGGGTGGTGTATGTGTAGGTGGTGTATGTGTAGGTGGTGTATGTGTGTGTGTGTGTGTGTGTGTGTGTGTGTGTATGTGTGTGGGTGTGTGTGTACGTGTGTGTGTACGTGTATGGCAGGCGAGGTGGGACACAAATGGTATTTAGTGACTGCCACTACATCATTTAGCGTCTTACATTAAATCATTTAGTGTTTGTCAATAATTCCATGCCTATGATTGGCTGAGAAAAAAACAAGTTGTATCTGATTGGTTGATTTAATGACTGTCACTAAATGGGATATATGATAGTCACTAAATACCATTTGTGTCCCACCTCGCCTGCCATTTAGTGTCTATATCATTAAATCGTTTAGTGTGTGTGTCAATAGTTCCATGCCTATGATTGGCTGAGAAAAAATAAGTTGTATCTGATTGGTTGATTTAATGACTGTCACTAAATGGAATATATGATAGTCACTAAATACCATTTGTGTCCCACCTCGCCTGCCATATTACGCGTGTGCGTACGTGATCTGGTGTGGCGCCCAGTGTAACGCGTGTGTGTACGCGTTTTAGTGCGTATAAAAGAGAAACCAGACACGAGATTTATTGTTGCGCCTCAATGGCGTGTGAAAAAAAACCAGAGAACCGCCTGCTAACAGCAGACTGCAAGTGGGTGTGTCCAACCAGTGGCGTAGTTAGGAGGGCCAAAGGGGGCCATGGCCCCCCTGTTGATCCGAAAGTTAAAAAAACACAAATGTCGCCTTGTTACATGGCGCCAAAAACAAAGATTGCAGAGCGGAGAGGCGGGGGAGCATAGGGTGTGGAGAGGGAAGCGGAGGAACCATTAAAATATTAAGTCATCCACTATTTTGCACAGTTCGCTGTTTTTGCCCCCCCCCCCTGTTAAAAAATCCTGGCTACGCCACTGTGTCCAACAACACCAATGCATCGGTTAAACAGTATAAACAACCGTATGTATACACATCCTCCCCGGCCTGACCTTGTGCGACCAGATCGCGCTGTCACACGCGTGGTCACCTTTGACACATTTCCGATTGATGGTGTTGGCGTGCCAGTGGATGGCGTGGGTGAGATTGCTCGACGGCACACGGAGAAATACCAGATCTTGTATTTTCTGGGTCCCTACATCTATATGTGTGCTCTTCATCTTTATCCACGTTAGTCGGTTCAGGCCATCAAGTTTCCGTGATCTGGCGCCGTTGGGTTCGGTTACGGTGGTTGGCCTATTTCTGTAGGGTGCCGTCGCTTTTGCTCAGGTACGAGCGCGGAGCAACGAGTTTCTGAACCCGACATTGTGACTATTGTTGTTCTCCTGTGCGTTTCATTCGAGCGGTGTCGCCAGACTCCAGCCTTGCAATCTATTCTGACTGCTCGTTGTACTGCCCTGTCTGACAGTGTTTGGTTTTCATTAACCCAGCGTATAAAGCCACCTGTGTGTTCGCAACCTGTTCTGCTAGCATTTATGACAAATACGACATACGCATAGACGCACTCTTATAACACTATTTGTCATAGGAAGATTCTTCCTATGACAAATATTGTTATAGCAGATATGCTCGTATTTGTCATACAAGTCTTGAAATCTGATTGGGCTGTTATATCAACGTCTCCGAGTCAGGAACTAGCAATATCTAGGCCATTGGTAGTAATGTACCCGTAAGCAATGTATGCCACCGTTGTTTTATTCTCGTAGGATAAGTAGGCACGTGATAGCATATCCGCTATGTACATCTCTGTGTCACTATTGTGCTGTATATTGACATCATACTTTTGAGGCGTAGCAACATGCGTTAACGTCTCTTGGGAGCTCTATGTATAGGCTTCTTAGAGATAACATACAGAGGTTTTTTATTCCTCTGTGCTAGTTAACACACGTGATGCAAACCACACTGGTGTACCCTGCTGAAGTAATGCTGCTCGATCCCAGACCTTTCTCATATCAGAGGCATCGCACTGTATGGTTCCTTATTCATCATCCCTGTTCACGTCGTATTAAGCGAGGTCCGGTTCAGTGGCAATAATTTACTTGGCATGTGTAAATGCATCCTCATGCTTCTTGATCGAGCTAGCATCATTCCACGTGGTAGTGTTCGAGTTGACGTTATGCATTCCACACTGTTGATAGATTGACTAAAACAATAATTTAGCATGCGCAGGAACCTACGTAGTGCCTTGTGGTCTATCCTGGCATCGACCCTGGCATCATCTAGGCCATCCTGGCATGAACCTGGCTTGATCCAGAGAGACATGATACAAGATTGCGTGGCACAGCTTTGCTGTTGATCCTGAGCGCTGCGCGCGAATGAGACGCGCAGTTCCGCGGGATATGCGCACGCAACCGCGGGGATGTTCAAGTATGAAGCGCTGTCCGCAGTGGAGACGTGCGCCAAATTCGAGGCCCGGCGCACGTCTCCACCGCGGTCAGCGGATGGTCTGTAGTTTTAGAAGATAACAATGAAGACTTTGTTCTAAATAAGAACTATCAGCGGCTAAATAAGAGCAATATACAGACCTTTGAATTTCTTGACTAGTCAGTCAAAAAGCTTGTTGGGGGTCCATTAAGCAGAGCTTCCAATTGAAATGGCCGATGAAATTGTCAAGTAGAGTTTTGTTTTTCGGAGCCCCAAAGAAAATGTCTCCCTCTTACATACACCCACCCCCCTCCCTGATCAATCACGCATTTAGGCGTAAACAATAACAGAGATGAAATTGTGTTGGGTTTATGGCGCTTGACGCACGTGCATTGACGTACAAGACTGTTGAAAGCACAGGCACTTGAAACGTCTCAATAAAAATAAATATTCACACAATTTTTCATAATTTTCATAAAATAGGTGAACGTATCGGAAACATATACAGTTAGTACTTACTGTGACATATCCGGGACTAACTGACACAACTAAATTGGTACGATGTTCCATGCACCTTGAGAAATTCTGAGAAATTACGAACGCAGAACTCCCGACACCGCCCATCCTGATGTCACAAAGCTATTATGTAAACTAGCTCTAGTACGCGGGCTATAGTACTAGAGCTATATGTAAACAAACACGCGTGTTGCGAAGTGCCTGCCTCCGATATCCATTTCGAGGCCCGCTAAGCCAAACATAAAGCACGCGGGCAAGACGTCACACATACAGCTACGTTCATTGGCTAAAACAATCGAGTAGCGCGGTTAGGAATTTTCGGAATTATTTAATTTGAAGAAAAACTTTAATGTAATTCAATGAATGACGCACTCGTTCACTTCCGAAAGCGGGTAAAAAGGCCGAATTTTTTTACTTCGATGCGAAGCATCAGCCGGGCCTTTCATTATTTACGAAAAGCAAACAGTCTCGCCAAACACCTACACGCAGTAACGGGTCACGTCGTTGACGCCCCATTCAGGCCCATCAACGAAGAAGGCGGGGCTTATTCTGATTACGGAGATGCAAAAATACAACAGAAGGATGTAGCGCAGTGCGCTAAACAGCGTGTTATTTTCGTATTTGTGGCAAACTCTATTGTAGGAAACGGTTCTAGCGTAGCAAAATGCCCTAGTTCCTGAGATCGGCGATTTGGTGGTCCAATGGGTCCCCATCTTTAAAAATATAAAAGACTGGTGCGGTGTAGGGGGGGGGGCAAAATTTCATGACTCAACTGTGTAATGATGAGGGACGGGCGCAGCTCTTGATCGTCGTCCATAGTGTGGTAGGGGTGGGTATGAGACAAGATTTCCACGGATAATTAAGTGACCAAAAAAATCACGTTAGGGTTATTTACGATTATTAGCTAAGCTCATTTTTTACTTTTGCTCCAAAAATCTAGGGGGGCAGCTGCTCCCTTGCCCCCCCCCCCACACACACAGGCTACCGCCCTGTTGACCCCTCTCAGTAGGCTTAATGACTGGTGGAAGGATGCTGTCACCCACTAATCTTTCTAGCTCTGATTTGACAGAGTCATGAATGGCTATCGGTACTCGACGAGGGTATTTTAATAACAGGTGGGATGTTCTCATCTACTTGGGTGTGGTATTCACCAGGCAGATATATCCAAGCCCGTATAACACGTCTGCGTTCTCGTGTAAGAGTGGATCCGTTTTAGCAGAAGTGACTTTTGGTCTTTGTCTTGTTACGTGAGTGTCTGTAGCTACACTGCGGCACTTTGTGGCAAAGTGATTCAGCTTACCGCAACTCTCGCACTTTTGCCAATTGGCAGGGCAGTCCGTACGCTTATGCGAGATGTCTTCCACAATTATGCTGAGCGGGTCTATGTCCCCCGGGGTACTGTCGGAACGTACCCTGGGTACGGTCCGGTATACCGGAACGTACCTTGGTACTATCTAATATGCCGGACCGTACCTCGCCTATTCCACTACCGAGTCTAGTGAGTCGCCTACGCCTACTCCCTAACCCAAACCCAAACCCTAACATTAATCCTAACCCTAACCCTAACCCTAACCATATCAAATAGTGACCAGGGTACGTTCCGGCAGTACCCTGGGGAACATAGACCCTATGAGCCACAATTATCACATGCCCGTTTACCATGTCGTGAATATGCAGTTATAGAAGGAGATTCTCTGAATTCTCTTTACTTCGGCATTCTTCCTGTTAGCGGCTTCGAACATTCAACAGCATACGGCGTGGTAACTTATCAAGCACTCACACCTCGATAACTCGGCAGACACTGCCGCAATGAAGAAAATCTGTGTCCCTGCCTACCAAGCTTTTGCCAAATAAAATATAACTTAGTGTAACATTAAAACTTGCATTTAAGTTATTTAATTGTTTTATGAATTTAAATATTTGTTTGTTTAATTATTCATTTATTCGTGTATTTAATTATTTAAGTATTTTAATTTTATTTAGTTTCCATTTAAACTAATGCTCTTATGTCCGAGTAGTTTGATTTTTAAAACATTGTTCCTATAGTATCTTACTTCATTAATGACAAGGTCTAGTGTGTCACCGAAATCGCCTACATTGCAGTATATTGACTAATCTGTGTTGACGCATTTGACGTGTATGACAAAAGAAGTATAAATTTGCAGTACATTTAACAATTAACAATATAATGACGAGTAGTTTGATGCATGAATGTCTATATCTATCTCTGTTTTACCTTTTTGTCATCATTTTGTAATCATTTTGTCTGATTGATCTTGACTGAGTAATCATTCAGAATTACTCCAAGGTTTTACTTTATTAATGCCTACATCAGCCAGTCATCACAAATTGTGGTTTATCTTACATGGTGAGATCTGTGCATCCACATGCATAATAATTTCCTCTTCCGCAATATAAATATTTTTTGTTTAAAATTGTAAATTTAGGTTAGAGAGCTCATACTGAGAAATGGCTTGAAAGGGGAGCAGGACGTGCTGGAGGAAAATTTAATGAGCTGGAGGAAGATTATGAGATAAAAAAAGAAGCCGAATAGGAGTGAGAAAGAAGTGGGAGAGGAAAGGGGAAATAGAATGGGTGGGTCAGAAGGGCGAATTCGGATAATAAGACGGTCGGCGATTTATACAGAGGCCTTATTCTTCCTTATTTCTGCTTTCTCTTATTGTTCACCCATGCCAAGTATCTGCACGAAATTACATTATTCTGTTTCAAATATATATTTTAAAGTAAAGAGTACATGTTCCCAAGAATGTTACTACGAAAGATCAGGACACCATCTCAGACAGATCATTTCCGTCCCTTCTGTCACCAACCTACCCTAATGCAGCGTCACTCTCTCTTCAAATATTTCCTGTTAATATGCCTGGGAATATTTACCTGTCTATGATGTCGAGTAATCTACTAGCAAATTTAACATGCAGAACTAGAATAGGTTTTAATGAGAGCGTGTACCGGCTGTGTTCAAATATTAGGACTTTAAATTGGCGCGCTATCAAGCGTTATAATACATACGTAGATACATACGCTAAACTTATTATTGCCGCACCTAAAAATCTACCGGAGTAGTGTCCAAAGTACACTACCCCCGCGGCAAGGCGTGACTACGTAAGTGGTTCGCACATACTAACATTTCAAATGATATATACATGACGGATATGTACATAGGGCGGGCCTATACTGTTATTCCTATTGCTATATAAAGACAACGTAAGCAACGTCTATCGCGTCTGGCACATGCTGTCCGTGTGCATGGATGTGTTTGCGCGTGTGTAACACTGTATTTGACAAGAAGAATGAATAAGTGGACTGTGGTAATAGTTGGGCTCGTATTCACGCTCTCAGTCGTCGCCACTGGACTAATTGTTGGGTTTGCGGTGCGCTGTAGTGACAGCAATGACGATCAGACGATTGCTCCGACGACTCCCCCATCGGTGACTTTGCCGCTAGATTGGTGGCAGGAAACAATTATTTACCAAATCTATCCCCGGTCTTTCGCCGACTCGGATGGCGATGGAGTTGGTGATTTAAAAGGTATATTGTCTCTTTGTTGAATTATATGCTAGTTCCGAGTTTAGATGTTGATTGATAGTGTAACCAGCATTAATAGTGCTAGTGCTGTAAGTATGGATTTGTTGTTATTTGACAAATATCTTACGCGTGCTACATTCGTAGACGTATATATATGCGTATACATAAAATTATATATACGTATATATAAAATAATTATTATAGTTATTATAACTTTAATTACTATCAGAATTCAGCCACTTGTTCATAGCAGTCATGAGTACCCCAATCATAGTATCCTCTGAAATTTCAACTGTTACAAGCGCTGTACAAAGCGAGCTCTGAATGTCACAGGCTCACAGCCAGGGACTGTTGTACTTCTCGATGGGCTCCAACTGCATGCACACTGCATGGCCATTTTAAAATTTCGGCTCCGTACTACCAATATTCAGCGAACACCATCCCAACAGACTATTAGTTAAGGTATATCTATCATTTATTCATTATTACATTGAGGTTTGTGGACTGAGAACATCGATGTCACCCTGGATCGGAGGTCGAGTGTAACACTGATTTTCTCCGTCCACAAAACTAGTTTGATGCTTACTTCACGACCGTGCTATAATTCTAAAATTGCGCAATGTATTTATAGTCTACACAGTCTATTATACATTATAGCTAATTGCCTGGTTAATTGTTTATTCTTTCTCAAACATTCAATAATCCCCGTCTCTAACAGATTTTTCTATACATAATCATAATCCAGAAATATGGACTGAAATGTATGCAAGGATTGCGACAAAAATCACGTAAACGTTTTCACAAAACGTATTGAAATAAACGAAATGGCAGTGACACCGAGGGGCAAAAGAACTGGTTTTCGACACATTTTGTGTATTTTTCTTATTTTTTGTTTTACCAAATGTGACAAACTCATATCTTCCATCCATTCAAACGTAGAGGTTCATTTATCCCATTGGCCGACCAGCCGGTTTACGTTGTTTGTCATGGTGACATGCTTTGCAGCAATTACAATTAATGCGGCATTTCTACAGCAATATATATATATAGAAGCAAATCACGCGTGACTTCGTCCCCAGGCAAAACGTTTTGGCTAATTAACTTTGCGACTGTATACAAATAGAAATATGGTAATATTATAATAATTTACTGATATATATATATATATATAATACATTATATATATTATTTATGTATATATATATATAATAAATAAATAAATTATTATCTTATTTATTATATTTAATTTATTTTATATATAATATATATTAATTATATTATATACAGTTGACCTGTCGTTGCTGTATCAGTAAATTATTATTATATTACCATATTTCTATTTGTAAGCAGTCGCGAAGTTAATTAGCCAAAACATTTTGCCTGGGGACGAAGTCACGCGTGATTTGTGTTCCGAGCAATTGATCGCCGGCGATTCGCCAATGATCATTAATATTCGTCGGGGCGAGAACTGCTTCTCTTGTCCTCCTCCCCAGCTCTCCAACCAAATAATTACAACGTACCCATTCCTCCATTTTGTAGCACGTACGAAACATTTTACCCATTATATTTTAATAACAAAATACTTGAAACAAAATCTAAGCGAATCTAGACGCGACTAGAACGCCGTCTCTGCAATCACTAGTTCATAGCTACGAGCAGATATGTTAATAAATGTTTGTTATTTAGTATTTGCCATCACAAAACATCGAAACACAAGTGTTCATAAAAACATCAAGTAAATATTAGCGCATAAAATCAAATATCGGTGAAAAAGAAACGATAATTCATAACTATATAAAAAATTCAAAGATTTCAATTTTAGTTTTATGAACGCAAATTCAATTATTAAACTTATGATTGTGTTACATAGGTATTGAAGCCAGACTAGATCACGTCACATCACTAAACGTGAGAGCTGCTTGGTTAAGTCCCATATACGAGTCGCCCATGAAAGATTTTGGATACGACATTTCGGATTTCGTCAGTATTGATCCGATATTTGGAACGATGGGGGATTTTGATAGTCTTCTTGAGGCTATGCACAAGAAAGGTGTGTAAGTATGAAAAGTTGGTATGTTGTTCGTTCGACTCAATTGCGTGCGCACGCCCCAGCGCGCGCCTACACTCGCATACGTATGTGCGAACGTGTGTCCGTGCGTGCGTGTGGGTGTATGAGCGTTGCTGTGACTCGAACGAATGCAGAATATATCGATATACAGAAACATAATACACATACGCGCGCGCACGAACGCACGCACGCACGCACGCACGCACGCACGCACGCACGCACACACAGACACACACACGCGCGCGAACACACACACACGCACGCGCACGCGCACGCACACGCACACGCACACGCACATACATTCATACATACATACATACATACATACATACATACATACATACATACATACATACATACATACATACATACATACATACA